CCTCACTGGAGGTATTGTTTGCAAATATCTTCTATTCAGTTGGTTGTCTTTTTGATGTATTGACGGTATCTTTTTCTGGGCAGAAGGTTTTTTTTTGGTTTGATGTAATTTTATTCATTCATTTTTTCTATTACTTCCATTATCTTCAGGGTCAAGTTCACAGAAACCTAGTGCTCGTGTTTTCTTCTTTGTGTGTTATTGCTTCAGGTCTTATAGTCAAGTCTTCGATCCATTTTGAGGGAGTTTCTGTGTGTGGTGTCAGAGGGCGGTGCAGTTCCATGCTCTTGCATGTGGCTTTTCCATTTTCCCACCCCCATTCCTCCAAGAGGCTTCCCTTTCTCCACTGTATGTATCAGTTACCATAAATGTGTGGGGATGTTTCTGGGCTCTCACTTCTGTTGCACTGGCCTGGGTCTGTGTATCTACCAATACAAGGCTGTTTTAATGATGGTAGCTTTGTAGTATAATTTGAAGACACAGAGTGTGATACCTCTCTGGCTTTGCTCTTTTTTTTTTTTTTCTCACAATTGCTCTGGCTCTTCAGGGTCTTTTGTGGTGGTACACAAATCTATATTTTTTTACATTTCTTTGAAAAATGTCATTGGTACTTTCATAGTGATTGCATTAAATCTATAGATTGCTTTGGGTAGTGTGGCCCTTTTAACTATGTTGATTCTCCCCCTCCCTGAGCACAGAATATCTTTCCATTTCTTTGTGTCTTCTTAATATTCCTTCACGTGTTGTGATTTGCATGTACAGGTCCTCGTGTCCTGTGTCAGGTTCATCCCTAGGTAGTTTGTCTTTTGTGTTGCAATCACAAGCGAGAATGTTTTCTTCACTTGGTTTTCCGATGCTGACATTTCACTGTCTGTAGGAATACTATGGGTTTTTACAGTGGGTTTGCTCCTACACCTTTGTTTGTTTCCCGTAGCTGTTTGGTAGAGTCTGTTTCTGACTCCGTCCCGAGTCAGCCTTCCAACTGCATGTGATGGATGAGCCTGAGATACGTAAACCGAGGGGTGAGGTGGTTTGGAGGGGAAGCCTTTGGCGTCCCAGTGGGGGGTCCACCAGGAGCTTAGCTAACCCTGCATCAGCCACTCACAGTTTGACTCCCTGAACATTTCAAGACACCCACTCTTAATTTTTCCATGAGCAACAGTGTGTTGTTTGGATACTCAAAAAAAATATTGCACAGAGGTGTCATGTTGCAAGTCAGCTTTTTCATTCAATGTTATTTGTAAGCTTTTTCCCAGTTGACATCTGTAGGTCTTCGTTCTTTTTAACTGTGATATATGGTGCATATATTATTTATTAATATATGGGCGGCAGTGTCCAGCTCTCTCATGAGCCCGGGGTCAGGGCGTCTGCCGCAGCTGTGGTCTCGTCTATGTCCAGCTCACTCGGGTGGCTGCGGGCTGCAGGCTGCCCTCGCTGTCATGCCCCTTGGGCGTCCCCCTTGGGACACTCGCTTCACCAGAGCCAGCAAACAGGGACAGCAGGCGTGTTAGCAGGATAGATATCATGGTCTTTCATGGGTGGAATGGTGCTCCCCACAGCTCAGGTCCCTGGGACCTTAGTGTGTGACCTTATGTGGGAACGCGTCTTTCAGACAAAACTAGTTAAAAACTGAGATGAAACCATCAGATTCAGAGTGGGCCCGGAATGACTAGTGTCCCCTAAGACGAGCGGAGGTCACAGAGACACCGGCCATATGAAGATGGAGACAGAGGTGGGGTCACGTCCCTACGAGGGGAGGGGGCGAGTATGGCTGGCAGTTGCCACGAGTAGGGGCCGGGGTTGGGAGGGGGCAAGTTGCACAGGGCGGTTTCCCCTTCGGAGTCCATGGAAGGCACCACCTGCCGGCACCTGGATTTCAGGCCTCTGAGAAAATAAACTGGTTCTTTTCATCCACCAGTGGGCGGTGACTTATCACGGCAGCCCTCGGAAACTGGCCCTTACCTTTTGTAGCGGCATCTTGGAGGTGACACTCCCCCACTGTGGCCACGTTCTGTGGGTTAGAAGCACGCTTCCAGGTGCAGCCAGGTGCACCCCGATTTGTCAGTACGGGAGGAGGGGCCGCCGGGAGCCGTTTTAGAAACTTGTCTGCCCTGGGGTACCATAATCTGAATCTTAAGGCCACAACGTTGGCTTTTTCCTTTTAAACAGCTTTATTGAAGTATAACTCACATACCGTATCATTCACCCATTTGGAACATACAACTCGTTCTTTCGTGTGTTCCTGGGTTGTGTGTTTACCACCGCAGTCTAGTTTCGGAGCATCTTTGCCCCACACCACAGCCTGTCTCCACCAGCTGTCACTCCCTGCCTCGCGCCCCGAGCAACCAGGTCTATGCCTTCAGTTCCCATGTTTGCCTGTTCTGGACGTTGAAAACTGTTTCTTACGTGAGGTGGAGGTGAAAAAAATCTTACACAGGGTCCGGCTGAAGGAAGGCCTGCCTGACTGCGGTCGGCAGGGTGATAATATGGGTGTAACAATTTATAGTTTTACTATGAACATGTCACCTAAAATGTCACAGGTGTGCTTGAGTGGGATATTGTTATGTTACAGAATGACAGGCTGGTGATTTTGTAATGAAAGGAGGGGCGTTACTTGTGCCGGGCCCTGTATAACTGTGGTTTGCAGTTCTCCAAAGTTTAAAAGATTTTATTTATCTTTAGAGGAGAAGGGAAGGAGAGAGGGAGAGAAATATCAACGTGTGGTTGCCTCTCATGCGCCCCCTGCTGGGAACTGCCTGCAACCCAGGCCTGTGCCCTGACTGGGAACCAAACTGTGATCCTTTGGTTCGCAGGCCCGTCCGTGCTCAATCCACTGAGCTATACCAGCCAGGGCTAAAACCTTTTTTAAAAAAAAAATCAGTGACCGTTGACATTCGCTGTTAGATTAGTTTCAGGTGGCTAGACATCTGTATAACTTATGAAGTGACTCTCGGTAAGTCCAGCACCTGCCTGACACCACCGGCAACTACTGCAATATTACTGTGTTCCCTCTGTCGGACGTCGTAGTCCTGTGACTGTTTGGTAGCTGCCAATGTGTCCTTCTCAGCCCCCCATCCCTTTCAGGTCACCCCCCATCTCCGCAGTTGTTTGTGTGTTAGATCCCACGTGGAAGTGCAATCTGGAGACATGCTTCTTTATGTGGCTTATTTCACTGAGTGTGATGCCCTCTAGGTCCACCCCTGTTGTTGCGAAAGGCAGGTTCGGTCCTGTCTGTGGCCATGTGGTATTCTGTTTTTACATACATATATGTATATACACACACACACACACACACACACACACACACACATACACACACATACACACATCTTCCTTATCCATCCATCCACCAATGTGCACAGACAGCTCCCCCGTGTGGCTGTTGTAAACGATGCTGCAATGAACCCAGAGGTGCGTGTATCTTTTCAAACCAGTGTTTTGGATTTCTTGGGATACCCAGAAGTGGAATTGCTGGGTCCTATGGTCATTCTACTTTTAATTTTTTAAAGAACCTCCAGGCTGTTTCCCTTAGAGGCGGCACCAATTCCAATGGTGCGTGAGGGTTCTCTTTTCTTTGCATCCTTGCCAATACCTTAAACTCCGCATTTTTTGTTCCTTTGACAATTCCCCTTAATTTGTAAGTGATCACATTGAAATTCTAATGCATAATATATAAATCTCTTTTGTCCCCCTAAACATTTAGCTTATCTTGTGTTGGATACCTCCCCAAATCCTTAATATGCTTCACTGTTACTTTTCTTCACTTAAATATACTTTTAGTTTTGCCCACCGGCTTACCAATCTCTTCGTTCACTGCTGGTTTCTGTAACCACCTCTTCTTTCTGGACTCACTCTACACACCTTCTGGTACTTCTTCCCACGGGCTCTGTGTATAAAGAGCTGTGCATGCACGTCTGGAATCCCGTGTACTTTTCCTTTCTCTCTGCGTGCTAGTTTCAGTAGGTATGTAATTCTCAGCCGCCAGTCTCCTTCCGTGTTTTGGAAGTGTTCTTACTCAGACTGCAGCAGACTTCCCATCTGTGTGAGACAGACTCTAGTTCCATGTCAGTGCTCTGTGTTTTTGCAGCTTTCAGGTTATGCTTCGGACCCAGTGCTCTGCAGTTCGTGTGGCATGTGGATTTGATTGGTCCTACTTGGGATCAGCGTGCCCCTTAAATCCAAGGAGTCCTGTCAGACCCTGGGGCCCCTCGGGCTTTCTCTGGATGGTGCATGTCCCCATGTGTGCCCCCTTCTGCTCAGACGCCTCCGGAAACCTGTCACTCTACCCTCCCTATGTTAATGTTCCTCATATGTTCCATTTTTAATCTCTCTCTGCTGCCTGCTGACTACCTGAGGCCTTCCAATTGCTGGTCTTCCCTGGCGCCCGGAGGAGGAGGGGAGAGGGCTTTCTCGGCACGTCAGTCTGCAGTGACCAGCTTGGGGGAAAAGGGGCCTCTCCTTCCTTCAGGAGACACCTGAGGGGCCCGCCCTTCAGAGTGTCCGACGTCCACACAATGAATTACAGGTGGTTCTGACAGTGTTTCATCCTGTTCATGACCTTCTATGATATTGAAACAGTCATTTATCTTTTCTGTCAATAAAGAAATAGCCTTCATTTTGGGAGAAAAAGATGAAATATTTTAAGTATTGTAAAACACCAAAGAAAAGGTGACACATGAATTCTTAAAAACAAATAGTTTAATTTCATTTTTATCTTGGAAAATAAGCAAGTTTAAAATGAAGTAACAAGTACTTTGATATGTCATCATGTGTCACTTTTTTTATGATACTACATTTACTGAAAAATGTGAAGATACAGAACCCTTATAAATCTCTGGAATTAAAAGATTACCACTGAAGATGAAAATGGATTGGTTTTAAAAGTCAATTTAGTAAATATCCCGTGTCTGCTGTTTGTTTCTATGAGAATATTTGGTATAAACGCTCTATAAAATAAGGCAAACTTTTAGAAGAGTCATTAATAAAGTTTCATGAAATAACAGTTCAGTCTTAATCTCTTTTAATTTGCAGAGTCACTGGCAAAGGCCGCCAGGCGAGGAGAGCGGTTCCCGAGGTCCGGTTTCTGTAGCGAAGGAGCCCGTCCCCTGCAGAAAACAGGTTTTCCTCATTAGCATAAGACAGAAACAAAAGTGTAACATACACAGATATTTCAGCCCCAACTGGTGTGGCTCAGTTGGTCGGGCATCAGCCCACAGAGCGTAAGGTGGCCGGTTCGATTCCCAGTTGGGACGCATGCCCGGGTTGCAGGCTTGGTTCCCAAACAGGGCGCTCACGAGAGGCAACCAGTCCATGTTTCTCTCCCCTGCCCTCCTTCCTCTCCCTCTAAAAAGAAATAGAATCATTTTTTTTTAAACACCAAGTACTTTTATAGTGCAGTAAAGTGTCATCTTATATTCTTAATTTCCGTGATGAAAATAAGTGTAGACCAAGTATTACGCAATGAACGTGAACCATGTATATTTATCTGGTCATGGCATTTAAAGTTCGCTTCGAGGCCCCAGCTGGTGTGGCTCAAAGGGTGAGCACCCTGTGAACTGAAAGGTGCCAGTTCAGAGAGGCAACCGGTCGATACTTCTCTCCTTCTCTTCTTTCCCTTCCTTCCCTTGCTTCCCTCCCTCCCTTCCTTTTTTCCCTAGAAAGTAAAATCTCAAAAAAAAAAAAAAAAAAAAAAAAGAAAATTGGGCCCTGGCTGGTGTAGCTCAGTGGATTGAGTGCGGGTCTGTGAACCAAAGGGTTGCCTGTTTGAGTCCCAGTCAGGGCACACGCCTGGGTTGCAGGCCTGGTTCCCAGCAGGGGGCGCGTGAGAGGCAACCACAGATTGATGTTTCCCTCCTCTTCCCCTCTCTCTAAAGTAAGTAAGTGTTTTTTAAAAATTGGCTTTGAAGTATTTTTTAACTCATAGAAAGTATTAAAGTTGTCATAAAACATTTTAATAATTGATATATCAATCAACCTCACAATTTGGAACACTCAGCAGTATTCCCCAGTGAGTGGTTGTACCTCCTATGGTGTGGGCAAAATCGGGACAGGTCAGACTGCCCTAAGGTGGTGTTAGCCCTGGACCACGACTGTGGGAAACTGCCCGAATGCAGACCGGATTGCAAGGTGAGTCTGAAGATCAAGCAAAAAGGTAAGTTTGAGAGGTTTTCACTTCCTTCCCTCTGATCTTCACCACCTTTTCATCCTTGAATTCACCACAGCCTTCATGTTGACTTTCTGTATCTTCACCGTCACCCGGCTCCTTCCTACACCATCTCCTTCACTACCTTCTTCATCTTTACCACCATCATTACCACCTTGACATTCATATTCACCACTTTCAAGACCTTCACCACGACCTTGACCACCTTCAATTGGACTTTAACCATCTTTACCTGGACCCACGCTATCCTTGACCTTACCCCTTCCACCACTTACACTTCACCATCATCTTTACCTGGACTTCCATCACCTTCAATGTGACGTTCATCACCTGCACCTTGACCTTCGCCCTGACCGTCATCTTGACCACCTAGACCTTACTATTTTCACCATGTACACTTGCGCCTTCACCAACTTCACCAACTTCACTTTCACCACCTACACACTCATTGGACTTCACCTTTCACCTTGACCACGACCTTCAAGTCTGTCACTTGACCTTCAGTACCTTCAACCTCACCCCTTTTCTATTTCTCCACCTCACCATCAACAATTCACTACTTTTACCTCTTTCACCTTGACCTGTAGCACACTTGAGTGTTATAACCTTTACATTGATCTTTGCCACCTTCACCTTAAGGATTACGATTTCACGTTCTATGATTTGACACTTTCAACTTCACCTAATCTGAATTTTAATACCCTCACCTTCACCCTCACATAGAACTTCACCAGTTTCTGTTCACTGCCTTCACCTTGACCTGCGCTGCCTTCACTTCACCACATTTACCGTGGCCTTCAGCGTTCAACCACCATCATCTGCTCCACCTTGACTTTCACCTCCTTCCCCTGGACCTTCACAGCCTTCATCCCCATGCGCACCTTTCCCCTCACTCCCACCATTTTCAGCCTCTCTCTGAACTTCACTTCCTTCACCTCCGCCACCACCTTGCGCCACACAACTGTCACTTTTGTCCTTACTAACTTCCCCTTTGCTGTCTCCAGAACGTCACCTTCAGGACGTTCACCCTCACTATGAACTTCACCACCTTTACTACATTCACATTCACCTTGACCTACACTTCTGTCCCCTCAAGCTCTGGCCTTGCCACCATGACCTTGACTTTTACTACCTTCAAGGCCTTCTCCAGCCTCAGTGTCACCACCAACTTCAACATCAGCCTCTCATCTTCGCCCTCGTTCTTAAATTAAAAGTAAGCGACCACCCTTTCGTCACCGCTTTCACTTCCTTCGCTGATGCCACCTGCACTACTTCCCCTGACTGTCACCCTCACCTCCTCTCCCTGGTCCTTGCCATTGCCACCCCATGTGCTGAACATCTGCGCCACCTTCACCGACCTTGCCACCCTGCACCCTGGCCCGCGCACCCCCAGCTTCACGGCCTCCTTGACCTTTGCCACCCTGACCGCCTTCCCCTCTGCCCCCGGTCCGACCTCTTTCAGCTCCCAAACTTTCACCTTCAGCACATTGACCTTGACCTCTGCCACCTACATCACCACTGCAACCTCCACCCACTGCCGTCGCCACCTTCATCCTCATAGTCACTTGAAGTACACAGCCTTCATTTTGAACTCCTTCCCTTTGACCTGCTTCCCCTGCCTTTTACCTTTACCACCTTCCCAACTACATCGAATCCATCTTCACCGTGTTCACCTCTGCCCTCTTGACGTCTGTCCCGTACACGTTCCTTCCTCAAAGCAGCCCCTTCCCTTCCACCACAGTCACGTGTATCCGCACCTTTACCCTTTACCTTGTTCAACTGCAGCACTTCGCACCCTCACCTGCACCCCCCCCCCGCTCCACAGCTCACACTCACCCCCTCACTGTCACCTTGAGTTTCATTAGCTGCAGCTTCACCACCTTGAGCTTCACCGCAGCCACTGTCACCTGTCACCCATCTCCGTCACTGATGCAGCCTTCACCTTTGCCATCTTCACCCTCGTCTGACTTCACCATCAGCCCCTCACCTGAACTTAACCAGCTGCCCTGACCTCGTCACGTCAGCACGGACACACTCTCCCTTTCCTGCCTCCGACCTGACTCCGTTCACCCGTCACCGTCACCGTGCCCTGCCCACCTTTGCCACCTCCTGCGGCGCCACACGCCTTCACCCTCACCACCACCGTTCTGAACTTTGCCCCTTTCATTTTGAACTTAACCTTATTCAGCTCGACCTACACCACACTTCCACCACCTTCCCCCTTTCCGTCTGCCTGTTGAGATTCACCACCTTCACCGCCTCTCCTTTCACCTCCTTTGCCTGCACCATTTTCACCGCCTTCGACTTGACGGTCACCACCTAACATTCCCCTTCATCTCGGTCTCCACTGTCTTGAACTTCGTCACCTTTACCAGCACCATTTTCAGTCTTCACCTGACTACCTGCCCCTTGACCTCAACACCTTCACATCTAGCATGGTCACCCCCACTTTTGTTTCACTTTGCTGACGAAGGGAGTGAAGACTGTGAAAGTGACAGTGTTGGAGGCAGGAACGCTCTGCCCAGCAAACCGAAACCCCCGCAGTGCGTCCGATGACGTCACTGCTGGCTGCGGAATGTGGGTCCCCCGGCCCCACACAACTGCCCACTTTCCTTCTGGTGTGTGATATTCATAAAACCACGGAGCAGGGTTACGTACTATTCTGGTTCTGGAGGTGGCCGGAGGCTCCGCAGCTTCATTTCATCGAGTCCTTTCCAGTATTTAAAATTGTTGTCCAGGTGCTGCAGTAACTCCGGTAGGTCTACAAAGGCTGGAGAAAGAGGGGGGAGTGTGAGATCTTTTCACAGCCTTGGTTTAGCGGTTCAGGCTAAGGAGCGAGCATTGGGAAGAAAAAAGGGATACGAATAGGCATCTGCAGAACTCTAAGCAGCACTGACCAGGCCCGAGGGGACACAGAGCAGCTCCCGCAGGATCTGCTCAGCTGACAACTCTGGTAAATGAAACTGAGGAAGCTCATCTGCTTCATTACCACAAACAGCACCTTTGGGGCTGGGGTGTTAGAAACAAAGTACAGTGAGTCCCCAACCTTGTGGCATTACCAGGAGGAAGCAGGCGGTGGCCGTCTCTCCTGTTTGTGCCCTGCCCCCCCGACCCCCCCGGAGACCCCATCTGCAGACCCCGCCTGTACGGCTGTCTGCCCTGTAGCCCTTCCCCACGTGCAGTCCCACGGCAGGCAGAGCAGGTTCCCGGGGGGTATTAATGGGGCCTCTTTTCTGAGACACCTGCACCTGACGGGCCGCCTCCGGCTGGCACTGAAGGTTAAGGAAGGGTGCTGGGCATCTGTCAGGGACACATCTCGGGTCTGCTCCAAAGCGAGGCCTGGCAGCCAATGGCAAAGAGCTCCTGGAGGAGCACTGTGGGGCTGTGGGGTCAGTGCTGGTGGTTTTGAGTCCTTGGTTCTCCACTGCACGCCGCTGTGGGGCCCCGAGTTCAATTCTCTTGCCTATGAAACCGGCCTAGTAACAGCTGCCCTGGAGGCAGTTAACGAGGGTGTGCACGAAGACCCCAAGCCCCTGGGTAACGAGTGGCTTCTTGTTCTCCTCAGTCCCGGGAAGTGTGGGTCCCCAAGCACAATCTAGAGCCCAGGTGGCAGACGCAGGGCCTGGGGGCTGTATCCACCCGGGTCTCGTTTCCACCCGGCTGCAGCGCCAAGCTCTCGCTTAACTGTGAAGGAGCAGTTACACTTACACAGCCCTGAAATTATATTCGGCCCTTTGAAGGCCACCACGGGCTGATGTGGCCCCTGGTGACAGTGAGTGTGACTGCCCTGATCCAGAGTCAAACACACTGTGTGCCGCCTCCTGCTTACTGTTCGGCCGTGAGGGAAATAGCCTCTCAGAGTCCTTACCGTCCCAAGCATCGAACATGCCTGTGATGAAGTAGTCGATGAAGGAGATCTGGGACTTGGGGATGCTGCAGGTGTTTCTGTCAAAGACCGGCATCACCACAGGTAGGTTCTGCTGCTTTTCTTCGTCGGTCTGCAGAGCAGAAGGTGCCAGAATTACAGAGCTCCGGGGGCTGCTCTGCTCCACCAGGGCCCCAACCAACACAAGCAGACCTGCCACGGGAGACCAGGCTGTTCCCGGAGTGGGGACTCCTCTGCGCCAGGAGGGCCCGAGGACACCCCACCCGTGTGGTCACCACCTGGAAGCCTCCTGCTAAGGAGTATTTTTTTTTCTGGACTGTAAGATGCATCCCCCAATTCTGGGAGAAAAATGGGGGTGTGTCTTATAATCTGAATGTAGCTTTATATTTATGCTGATGAAATATTATATTATTTATGTTATTAAGTATTTTACCATTTTTGCTTCAAAAAAGTTTTTTTCCCTATTTCCCTCCTCTAAAACCTAGGTGCATCTTCTGGCCCAAAAAACCCGGGTAAGCTTTTGAATGGCGCCTGCAGTGAGTGCACCCACGCGCCGCCGTCCCCGGCACAGCCCAGCCTCGGCGCCCCCAGCCTGGGTGGTGGCTCCAGGGCCTGACACCAGGACCATGACAGTGACAACCAATGCCCTTCCCAGGAGAGGAACTGTGGGCTGCTTCTCATCTCAGGCCATAGAATCTTATTAGGAGACTTTCAGAACACCCTTGAGATCCTCAAAGTTAAAAATAATAACAAAACTAAAAAGGCTCTGGGACGAAGAGGGTTTTGTGTCTGGTCACGCGTCGCTTCATGATGGGGATGTGTTCTAAGGAACGTGCCGTGGTGTGAACATCACAGCACGCTCCACGGCCCACGGCTCGGCACCACGAGCCTGTACAGCGTGTTACTGACTGAGTTGCAAACAGTGGTAACTACCTGTGCACGTAAACGTGGAAAAGGTACGGGAAAAACAGGGTTGCCCTGAGCAGGGCACTTCCCGGGGCTGGAGCCCCCGGGACTGGCGGTCGCTGTGAGTGAGCAGGGAGAGGTGAGCAGGTCTAGGTTAAGCCTGTCCCCGACTGCAGACGGCGTGGACCCTGGCCCCCAAGCCCTGCTCCACTTCCCCCCGACGGGGGCAGCACTCGGACGTGGACGCTGTCGGTGCTGCTCCAGAAGAGGGATGTGGGCCGGGCTGAGGGGGAGGACCGAGGAGAAATCCACCGCGTGAGGCAGGGATCGCCATGACAGTGACGGTCAGGAGGAAGTGACCGGTGGCCTGAGGGCCGGCAGGGAGAGGAAATCAGGACGCAGAGAGACAGGAATCCAGGGGCTGTCGTGGTGGTGTGGCCTCAGCTACTACGTGTCAGAACAGTGGTCGGGTTAAGGGATTTTGTGGCACTCTCTAAAAAGGAGGGTTTAACACGGAGAGGCTGTCAGGCTGAGGCCTCAATATTTAGACTCTGGAAATTTGTTTTTCTTTCCACTGACCTTGTCTCACACAAGGGGCTGTCCCTGCCCTGCCCTGCTGGAAGAAATGACGACTCAGCTTTACATCGTTATACGCTGAGAACATTTCGAAAGCACCGGGGCGGCCGGCTCCGCGACCACGGAGCTTTCCCTGCGGCGGCAGGGGCTCCTGTGGTTCTGCGTTCTCACCCTGCATCGCACGGCCGCAACGAGGGGTGTCGGGCAATGCCTCGGGGGCCGCACCTGAGTCTGCAGCGCCCGGGGCCGGGCCCCACTGCGCTGAGACGGGTCAGGGGCTGAGTGAGGGGGACGTCACTGTGTGCTCGGACCTGAGGTGCTGTGAGTGGTGACAGGTACTGTTCCCACCGGAGAAAAAAAGAACGGAGGAGCGTAAGAGGCCGCGTCCCACCTGAGAAAAGTACTCTTCTGAGATGCGTGCAGCCCACTCGATGCAGTGCTCCAGGGGCCGGCAGGGGTTGGACACGTCGGCGCACTTAATCAGCATCCGTTTGATCAGAGCCCGGTTCTCCGGGGTCCTGAGACTAGTGTTAATGGCTTCTCGGTCTTCCTCGGTCTTCTAAAATGTCAAGAGGAACGTGAGGCAATCGCAGCGGGTCCCCTGGCGCCACGCCCTGTCCTACTGCCGTGGTCCCCTCGGAGGCACGACGAGGCACTGTCTGGGATCTACCAGGTAGGGCTCACGAGGCAGACTCTGAGCACCGAGGGCGGCCCCTCACTTCACAGGGGAAAACCAAGGCGTGGTGAGAGGTGCCGCCGGGCAGAACAGGCACGGAGGGGAGGGGAGGGGCTGGAGAGGGGCCCCGAGGAGGCCACCCGACCCCGGAATGTCCAAGAGGCGTGGTCTACCCTCCAGATACACTGATCTATAATTTGACCCTCCCCCTCCAGAGTTTGACAACTATTTTTTGGATGTCCTATTTTTTCCTGCCAAGTTTTCGTCCTACACGTAATTTGACCAGTGGAGATGAGACTGGAGGAGTCGATGACATGCAGGGACACGGGCCCCAAACGCCGGCTCTCCGGGCGGTCTCCCTCACCTCGCTTTCCTCTAGCCCTGCCAAGGGCTTGTTGACGCTGTTGACAAACTTGTTGACGTGCTCAAAGTGCTTCGTCATCTCCGTGGCCAGGACCATGTCGATGATGGCCTGGCGCAGGGTCCGATAGTCGTTCCTGTTTTAGACGACAAGGGAGAGGCCGCTGCAGACCCCAGATCCTGACCAGACAAGCAGGGAGTCCTGGGAACTGGCTGTCGCCTGGGATGCAGGTCCGCTGTGGCCCAAGTTGTGAGGTCCCTGGAAGGCACACGTTCCCCGGAAGTGCTAGGTGGGTGCCTCCGCCGCTCAGCAAGGGGGATGCCAACAGCAGTGAAAGCCAGAGGCGGGAGGGCAGGACCTCAGGTGCGTCCGTGTCATCACCACCCCCTGGTGCCGAGCCCCCGGGTCAGACAGAACAGAGACGCACTGGGGGGTGAGCACAGCCCGCGGTCTCCTGGGCGACGGAGGTCTGTGCTCACGGGGAATGCGCCCCGTGTGAGGCCCAGAAACGCGGACAGCAGGCCTCCGACAGCTGAGCAAGTTGCAGGGCGAACTCAGGGCCTCTTCCCCCAGCAGTGGCCTTTCTTACAAATTTTTATTTTTTTGAGGCTGCGAACCATAGATGAAAAGTTAGAGAATAAGAAATGAAATCTGCCCCTTTTCTCCAGTCACGCCCCTCACCCTGTTCCTTCCCCTGGATGCGGCCAGTTGCCAGGGTCTTGAGTTCTCTCCAGAGGTAAGGGACACGCACACGGCCACACACAGGCACCTACCAATAAACCTACTTGAATTCCGCCTCCGCAATTCTAAAACGTGGCAAAAGAGAGTTTAGTAAAGCCAGGAATCTCCTTTTCGTAAAAGCCCAAGTCCCATGTTAAAACTTTCCTTAAAAATCCAAGTTAGTAAGTAGTTACGAGCACAGTTGCTCACATGGAAAATAATACAGTAATTAAAAGGTACTACAAGAATAAATTGTGTCGTGTGCTCACAACCGTAGCCCTGTCCCTGGCCACCCGTGTTCCTCCTGACAGAATATGCCCTCCACTCCCGACACTCGGTTCCTGTCACCAGACACTGAGGGCACCATGATGAACAACAGGCACGTGACACTGTGGTCGTAGCTTAAGGAATCCAATCAGATGTTGGACAAGAAATGAAAAGTGATTACTTAAAAATGTGGTCGGTGTTACGAAGGAACCTGTGACTGAATAATGAGTGTGAGGGGCCAGGGGAATGACAGGAGGGTGACGTGTGGACAGAGAAAATGAGAAGTTTGCGGGGCACAGGAGGGCAGCGGGGGCTGTCCAGGCAGACCACAGGTTCCGAGTCTCTGAAAGCTCCAGATGTCAGCATTACACTTCCTTCAAATGTCAAGACACAGAGGAGCTGAGCCTTGAGTCCATTGCGCTAAGTGAAAGACACCAGTCACAGAAGGTGGCACGGTGAGCACGCTCCTCTCGACACGCCACGAACTGGTGGGTCTACAGAGACGGGAGGCAGTGAAGTGGCGGCCTGGGGTGGGGGCGGGGGGAGTGACTGTGCATGAGTTTGATGTGGGGGGAGGGGGTGAAAACGTCCTAAAACTGGTGGTGGCCAGGTTGCGGTGCTCTGAATAAAGCAGTGCACACTTCCCACGGGCGAACGGTACAGCGTGTGCCTGCGTCTCTGAGCTGCTGACAGAGGGAGAGAGGCCTGCCGCACTCCGCCGTCACCCCCCTCACCTCTCCATGTTTTTGAAGATGTTGTACTTGTCGTCCCCGGCGGTCAGCTGGAAGGCCAAGGCCGCGTGGTGGCTCTCCAGCACGGCCAGGTCATTGTACAGGATGGCCAGCTCGCTCCCAGCGTTACACAGGAAGGAGTTCGTCCTCCCGGGGTGGTCCACGTCATGGACGGCGGCTGCAATGAGGGCTGCGGCCTCGTCCACTGGGTCTAAAGTTTGCTGGAAACAAGAGGTCTTTTAAAACGGGGGCGCGAAGCTGAAAGCAAGGGCGCCTTCTGTATAGTGTTCTTTCTGCCTTACTGCTTTAACGTGAGACTATCTCAGGTGCCTGAGAAAAGCATACTGTTGAGCAAACCCAGTTTCCCTGCCTCTCTACTGTCAAGGTTATGTTTTTGCAGGTGTTTAGGGAACACGACTGGATTCTCAGTCTCACACAAGTGGAGGACTTCACAAAATACGGGGTGTGCTCAACAGAGAGGAGTAAGGGCTGAACTGTATGATGAATTATATCTCAGTAAATGATGTCAAACTTGTTTTAATTTGGCTTTCTGAATATATATATATTTGTATATTATCTACAGAGTAGTTCAGAAGCAATAAATTACATAAAAAATGTGGCTGTCCCTGTGTGCTGATCCACACCGACACAGACATTCCTCCCCTGCCACTCATTTTTGTACTTTATGAACTAGTCTGCTCTCTGGACTCTGATTCCGTCTAGGTCTTGGGAACGGTCTTTCTTTAAAAACAAAAGAAAGACACCCGAGGGAATGGGGAAAGGGCCACTGCAAGACCCGGCTCTGGGACGGTTCACCTCCGGGGCGAGGAAAACAACCTGTGGTCACGTGACCGTGTGGGAGACGTGACCTCGCCCCTTCCCGGGCCCTGGGGGACAGGTGGGGGCTCTGAAGTGGTGACAGCCAACACTTGGCTGGCTGGACACGTCTCTAGGTTCAGGGTGCCCCGAGAGGAACAGCCCCCTGCTGTCTCTCTCCCTGGGTCCCGACTCCTGCTCCTCACTCTCCCCGTGGGCCGGCCGGGCTCCCATCCTGAGCGCACGCAGCAACTCCCCAGAGCCACGGCCCGGCCTCCCGCCTGACCCTCTGGTGGCCACAGCCCGCCTGGGCCAGGCCGCAGGGCAGTGCGGCTGCCCCTGGGCAGTCCCACTGCGTGGCGACCCGGTGGGGGCAGAAGCAGCACGGACCCCGCTCACCTTTATCCTTTCCCTGCAGAGGAAATAGGCAGTGGCGTGCAGCACGTCGGCAGCGTGTGTAGAGTTGTGGTAGGGGTTGGAGGAATGGTAATTGGCTTCAATGACCTGCAACCACGATCTCAGCGTCGTCTCAGAGCAGTTTAAGAATTCACAGAGTCCAAAACGAGCGAAGATTTTGAGACCAAGATAAATTAGAGGCCTATAAAGAAAAACACGCAGAGCATTAACACAGAGTGAGAGGCACAGTGTTCGGAGCCCTGGGCAGGGTCGGACCCAATAAGCACACCAGAGTCCAACTTCCGAGAGGGCGGGGGCAGCGGGGGGCGCGGGCCTCTCCGCGCCGGTGCTCCAGGGTGCTCCGTTCCCCACTGGTGCGTGAGGGCTCAGACCCCCTACTTGCACTACTGGGTTCCTCAAAGTCAGCGTGTTTGTGGCCAAGTTAAATTTGTGCCACCTTGAACCCTATCCTCTCCTCTGGACCCGCTGGACCCATGCCCTTGGCCAGGTGTCCTACCTGAAGACAGTGACAGTTTCTAATGACCACACATGAGCCTGACGTGTCATGTGCCATGTGCTGGTCCCCACGACCTGGAGGTGGCTGATGACTATGAGGAAGTACCCCCTTAGAAGGTGACCAACTGGCTGTCAAGTCCGTGATCAGAAGGTCGAGGAATCTGCCTCTGCTGAGGCAGTACCCAGAGGTGGTCGGGCTCACAGGACTTGAACTCACCTGCCTTAGCCCAGTCCCCGTGAATGCCCTGTCACTGTGTGGGGAGCTCTTTGCCACCATCTCTGCCCGTGTCGGGGACGCGAAGTCTGACGCGTGGTGAGAGTGAGCAAGGGCAGGGCTGCCATGGAGACAGACAGCCTACCCAGGTGCGGAGTTGCCCCGTGCTGATCCCCCGCGAGCACACCTGTCCCGGGACTGCCTCTGTCCACCACAGTAAGAGCCCGCCACCTGGAGGGCGGCCTGGCCACACTGCTGTCCTTTACAGCTCTTCTCCAATGAGGCACAAAACTGAAGGTGCAGTCCCAGTCCTCCCCCAGTCTGTGGACCCACCCAGTCCACGGTGACTAGAGTCGTGGGTGTCCCCATGCCTGTCACCAGCACGGTGGCTGAGATCTGGGGACAGCTTTTCTCAAATATGTGTGTTGGTATATTTGTGATTTTTAGTTTCAGGCTCTGAGTAGGGACTTTTTGCCACTACTTCAATGTATCACTCCCTACAGGCGAAACTGGTACCTGTGTTTTACAGACACCGCCCGCCCCTGCTATGTGGGGGCAGAGCCACTTGCTCAATGTCATGCTTTCCTCGAGTCTGCTGTCTCCTCGGCGGGCGGGACCAGGCGGGCCAGGCAGACTTGCCGCGGCTTCTCACGGCCTCTCTCGCTCCGATTCAGAGGCTCTTGCTGCCCTGCTCCTCTTCCCCAAACCTCCTCCCGAGGACCAGGCACCAGCTCCCCGACAGGCCCTGGGCATCCGGCTCTCTGCCTGCCGAGTGAGGTCCACACGCACTCACCGTTTCTGAGTGGCAGCCTCCAGTTCAAAAATATCAAAGTCCCAGTAGTCCTCATTTTCTACGGCCTGCGCTATCCGCGGCGACACGTCATGAAGGGTGAGGGGAGTGACTATAGTGCTCGGAACGTGGTTCAGGCCTGGGGAGTGGTGAACGAGGAGAACAGCATTAACAGGCTTTACGGCGTTAGCTCCTCCTGAGGGGGATGGTGCTTTCTCTGAGGGTCTATGACCTGCCCAGAAACTGCTGACACATGAGTAAAACTGTCTGAAATATGTATTTTTATCACTTAAGCTTGACTGTAATGTTACTAGTGGTCCAAAAAATTAAAAAGGAAAAATTTACCTTTTGTTGAAAGCACATATTCATTCCCAGACAGCCTTCGCAAACCATCCTGATAAAAATCAAGGGAACAAAAAAGGGCCCGTCACAATCAAGTCGCAGCTGCTCGTCTTGCAGACGGGACCGTCGGGCCCAGCGGACACTTAGGGGCAGCCTCGTTGGTGCACCCAAGGAGCCCCGCCCCCCTGCCAGAAGGCCCCGCGGGACCCAGGGCGGCGCCGGGAACCGTGCTGCCCTTTCTGTAGTCACTGGATGTCTTAAGAATGAGGGTTGAGAACTTGAGACTTCAGAAAGCGGGCGCTGGGAGGGAAGGTGGATTTTATTTCTGACCAACACAAAGAGGACAGAGCGCAATGGACTGAGCTGTGTTCCACCAGGTGGTCCCTCCCCTGTGAGACCTCCATCCCAGACGGGCTGCAGGTGGCACCCAGGGCCCCTCCAGAGCCCATGGTACAAAGCCCCCTTCTAATCAAATGGCCCCAAGTCACTCTCCCCCACGAAGTCACCAAATCTGTAGGATGTGTGGTGGAGGGAAACCGTGCCCCATTCCCTGGGGCCTCTTTAATATATATATATATATATTTTCTTTCTGTTTTGTGATGTAGTATATAAAAAAATTTTTTTCTGTCCCGGTTTTCAAGATCTTTAAAGCAATTAAGTTTTATTGAAATGAACTGCTCACAGAACCCCCCCAAGCAAACGTGGAGTCCTGGCTCAGCAGACCGCCGAGGCAGGGGGATGACGGCTGTGGAAGGGGAGTGCCGTGCAGCCCAGCCTGTGAGCGGATGGCCGCGGGGCGAACAGCAAGAGCAGGCTCCGGGCGGCGGCCTGGTCAGTGCACTTACAGACATTAGGCCCCCGACGAGGTCGCTGGCGTGAGGATCGTCATCCTTAACACCAAGCTGCGGTGAATATAACTCAGTGGTTCTCAGAATTTCCAGCACACGGTCTAAGGCTTCTGTCACAGGCATGGGACTGTTTTCCTGGGCAGCGTTGATAATGTTGATTACCTGCAACGTGGACAGACAGACCTGAGGTTCGTGACCGTGAAGACAACGGGAAAGCCACCTGCAGAGCCGGGCTAGCAGCTGGGCTGGAAGCTCGTGGCGGCCCAGCTTGCTGGTCACGGCTCATGCCCTCTCCCCAGAGGAAGCCGCTTGCTCCCCAGATAACAATGGCACTGTGACAGTTGCGGACTCGTTTCTTCTTAGTGGGAACAGTCACCTGGGAGAACAAGAGGCGTCCCTGCTCAGTGGGGACCGACTGTCGACCGTCTCACCTTGGTGATGGGCGCCTCGATGGTCATAGAGTGTATCCGGGCCATGGAGGAGTGTCGCCTCTGGCTGGCCACTGCGGAGAGACCATGAGAGCAGAGGTCAGGGCAGGCACGGCCTCGCGCACCTGTCTCGAGCCGGGGCCTCAGTGTGCCTGGCTGCAGAGGGCTCGGGGCCAGAACTACCCAGCCCGCCGAGCTCCCTTCCCACCCCGACAAGCCCACCCTGCTTCCTGCGGTTCTAGGCACTAGGAAGCACATGCCCCCGCAGCCTGAACTTCTGACATCAGAGAGAAAACAGGAAACAATCTAGCACGCCAAGGCCGAACAGCCTCTTTTTGTCCTCAGAATAATAAGGCTTTATAACGACTCAGCTTGCTGCTGTCCAGAAGCGAGAACGTTCTGGAAGACAGTGCCATCCAGGCTCCCTGTGGGGCTGTAACTGCAATTCACCATGAACAGACACACATAAATTTCTGGTTACAGTTTTCAAAGCTTCTCTCGGTGTTTTCCACTGTTATGCTTACTCTAGACAAATCAGGCAAATACCTTAACAGAGACAAGCAGCAATGCCTAGGCCCTAGGGTTTGTTAACTTTTTGTTGCTCCTGCAAGATGTGGTTCCTTGGCGTGGTGGAGGTGGGGCCCGGGCAGTGCCCAGGCAGGAAGGCACATTCACACAGAGTTCTGTGTGTCTCCCTGAAAGCGCCACTGTCAAGCCCAGCGCTCTTTACCAAAGGCCTTAAAGGAACGCACAGTGTTTGCAGCCTGGTGTGGCCGCTTCACATCACCAAACTGAGGCCCGGTGAGGAGTGCTTGCTTAGTAAGGTCCTCACACACCAAACACAGCTCATCTCCCCACCAAAATGTAAGCTGCTGTGGCAAACTGCAACCCACAATGAAATGCAGTCAAGTCCTCACCTAACACCACTGATAGGTTCCATGGAAACTTCTGTTTTATGCAAAAGGACATGTAAGGAAACCAATTTTACCCTTGGCTAATTGATAGAAATAAGAGTTGAATTCCTACAGCATATTTGTGGTCACAAAACATCACTGAACTTCTAAAGAAAAACAAAAAACCCTTCTAATATTAATGCTGAAATAAGGTGTACCCACAAGATCATTATTTTTGAACCTGCTTATTCCAGTTCAGGATCCAGGGTGGCCAGAGCCTCCCCTGGCAGCTGAGGGGCAGGCGGGACCCTGTCCATCACAGGGCCACCCCCTAGATGGGGGGACACCTGGACACACTGGTCCCCCTAACGTGCACCTGTGGGAGGAAACCAGAGGACCAGGGGAAACCCACGCAGATGTGGGGAGAACTGGCACCTCCACACACAGAGGGACCCAGACAGACACTGATCCTTTTCTATCAACATTGAATGAAATGATGTTGTTCGAAGACCCGCTGTATATGGTTAAGAACATCCAAATGCATCACTCCGCAGGCGGCAAACGCCAGGCCCGTGGGCTGAGTCCAGCCTCCACCTTGTTTTATCCTGCCCAGCACCCTGTTTCTACCCGGCGGCAGCCCCGTGCTCTTTGCCCCTAGTTAAGGAGTAGTTAGGATCCTAAAGCTACATTCAGCCCTTTGAAGGCAACCATGAGTCTGATGTGCCCCGTCACCATTACAGCAGATAAGAGAGATCAAAAGGCTCAGGACGAAGCCCCCTGGCAGGAGTGGGAGGAGAGGGAGAAATGACACAGGGGGCGAGGAGGTGCCGTGCCTGTGTGGACTGGAGGTGGGCAGTGACCGGAGATAAGCTGGGGGGCGCCGGGCCGCACGTGGTCAACACCACATGGCTGTCTCGGGCACCCACCTTCGTTTGTCCGAGAGGCCACACTGAGGACATCCAGTGAGCTCTTCCTCTTGTCTTTCTGTTTGCCTGGCTGGCCATCTGTGGAAACGAATGACAAATCACCTGATCAAAGGGATGCGAATGCAGTAAGACAATTACCGATGCAAAACTTTTAAAAACAAAACTTAAGAATCAGAACACCGTTTAAGTTGCCACAAAAATCAACACAGTGCCTCACAGAAATGACTATGAAAATGAGGTGGTTGGGGTCTGAGTTCCTCGCACTGTCCCACCTGGTGCGACTGGGCAATCAGAGTTCCAAGACGTGACGTAAGAACCAGAACTCCTATCACACACAGTTCTGTACGACTGAGTACACTGGTAGGAAAGGTCTGACCGCCACCTACACTTCCTCTGAAGGAAAAGAATCTTTTATGTATTTTTTCTATAATAGGAGATCTAAAATGCCCTGGGGAAGGACGTGCCTCTCTCTCCAAGGAGAGTTCAAGAACCCTGGTTTGGGGTACGTGCCAAATGCCAGTCTACCTTTCCACCCCTCCGACCCCCTTTCTGTGAATGGCACTGTTACCCTCCAGGGCTCCAAATGGGTTGTCCCACCTCTCCCTGACCCCACGCTGATCAGGGACAAGGCAACGCTGACCTTCCTGTCCCCTCCCGGGGCACCTGCTGGGTGCCATGCGTGGTGCCGAGCCTCTCCAACCTGTCCCCATTTCACAGACGAGGAAACTGGGAGCTGCTGCCGAGCCAGCTCAGGCCTTCCACCTGCAGGCGCGCCTGCTCCGCCCTGTCCTGGCTCCTCCCCAGGAGCTGCTCACTAGCAGGACCTGGATGCAGCCCACCATCGAGACCCCTTTCCATGTGCTATTTGCTACATTCACCTCTCCATGGGCACGGACTGTGCACTTGTCACCCTCATGGCTGACTTCTGTGCCACTTCATCTGAAGGACATGATTCAGTTCTTGCCCAACTCGACCTGTGGTACCTGACACAATGGGTCCCTCCTTCTGGAAACTCCTGGTTCGCATAAATCCATGCTCCTGGTTTTCCTTCCATCTCTCACTCTTCCTCCTGCACGGTTCCCTCTTTCGTAACCAGCCCCCACCAGCCCCCATCCCCTGAGTTCCCAAGTGCCTGTGCTGATTCCTTCTCTTCTAAGAAAACACAATCTCCTTGGGCGATCCCACCCTTCCTTCAGCTTTAAGGAACTCCAGGGTTGCTGCTTCATCCTGAGTGCCAGACTTCTTAACTGGTCACCTCCATGTGGTCAACCCTCAGGCCCTCCAGACGAACTCACGACCTTCTCCCAAGCCCACTCTTCGTCCCAGGTCACAGAGCTCAGTGGGAGACACATCCTCTGTGACTCCTCCCCTCCTGATCTCTGCCCTGCCCCATCTGTCAGCCAAATCTGATTCAGTCTCCTAAATTCCTCTTTAATCTGTCCTTGTCCTAGCTCAGAAATGAGTCACCCCTCCGGCTTTAACAGCTTTAAGGGCAGCTCCCTTCACTGGTCCCCCAGCCCCTGATCTTGCCCTTGTTATCAATCCCGTCTCTAAGGGCGGCCAAGGGGCCTTTCTGGAATGAAAAGCTAACCAGACCACTCTGATCACTCTCTGAACCCTAACCGGAACCCTCCCTGGACCACCTGCAGTCACGCAGAGCGGGAGGAGCAGATGGGGTCCCGAGGCGCAGGAGACAGGTACCGAGTGCAGCAAGGTTGCAGGCGTCCAGCTCCCTCCCTGTGGGCTGGCGGTGACTACTGTCAGGTGCAGATGTCCCTGCTAACATTCAGTAGCCTGACACCCAACACTCCTGCCCTTGCAGCCCCCATCGGGCCAGCAGACCACACTTCACTGAACACGTTTCCACACAAGTTCACGCACTTGGGGTGACCAGTTCTCTCACCAGGGGACACCTGTCAGAGTGCCCTCCTGTGCGCGGGGCTTGGACTCGCAGACCGACCCGTGGAGCTGGGGAGAGAGGTGCTGCCGGGTCCCGGAAACAGTTGGAGGAAGGGGCCGTTTTCACTTCATTTTTTTCAAAAGCTCAGTGAACTCTAAGAATGAACGTGGAGCATCATACCTGTGTGAGTGTCAGATGGAATGCATTCCGCTATTTTCTCAGCCTAAAAATAAATTTTAAAAGCCATTAGTTCTGATTGCCTAGGAATACACTAAGTGGGATCTTGTGGGGGGCAGCCGGGGGGCCCCAGGGGTCCCTGACATACCTTATTGTTGCCACTGCACACTCTGATAATGGACACATAGTGTCTAATTTTTCTGCAAGTAGAAAACAAGGCATTAGTGCCCTCCCGACTCTATTCCGATGAACACACAGCTGTATTTTTTCATTATCCAAACAGCACCACTCTTTCACAAAGTTCTCTGAGAAAAGCGCTGGTCTGGTTTGTGCCGAGACCGCCGGTAACAAAGTGTCTACACTCACCCTGTGGTGTCTATCGGAAAGAACTTGACTCTTCAGTAAAGACAACAAAATTCTCCCAAGTCATCCTCACATACAATAAAAAATACCTAGGTACTGCATGTTCACCAATCAGACGCCTGCAACCATCACGGGGCCCTCGGTCAGCTGGGAGCTGATGGCGAAGCCCCCCAGGCTCATCTCAGAAGCTCACTTGCTGTTCCTTTGACTTTTTCCCCATTTTCCCCCTTGATAATTAAACCCCTATATACTTACCACAAAAAAATTTGGAAAGGACATAAAAAAGCAAAGAATCAGAACAGAGAGCCCATGGACACCTGTCCCCCTAAGGCCACAGCCAAGTGGCAGCGAAGCCCGGTGACCGAGCACGTGAGCCTGCTGTCGGCATGCAGGCCTCGGCCGGGCTCCGCCCAGCCCTGGCAGCTGGGCCCGGGCCACAGACCGCACCACCTGGCCTCGGTCTCCACTTGGAACGTGGAGAGGCCGGTGAGGGCCAAGTAAAGGGCCGTCTGGGCAGGCACTGAGAGATGCAGGTGTGCGGACCCCCACTCACCGCCTCCTCTTCCCTTTTCCTTCCTCCATTTTTGTGACTGAGACCATATGCTAGATATGGTTTTACATTTTTACTTTTGCATTTGTCATAAGCATTTTTGCTGGTAATTTACTTTCCTATCCTTTTTAATGGTTGCGTATTTTACAGCTGGGCGTTCTGTATCACTGAGCACATATTCTGAGAAAAACCACAGGAGATTTTTAGGCCCCCGATATGTGGCTTCGAAATGTGTGGTCATGTCTGTTTTACACGCGAGTTTCCAGACAGCATTTAAAATCCGTTAATTTAATGTGGTGAGTCTATGCAGCGGTAACACACAGGCCATCAGATCTGACAGAAATATTTTACGTGGGGGGAGCCCATCAATCTGTGTCCTGACTGCGCGGCTTCACCCAGGGACCTTCCGGAGCCGGTGGGCGTCCCTGTGAGTCTGCGGCGTCAGCTGGAGCACCTGGGGCCCGGAGGGCGGGGCCAGGGCACTGGGAAGCCTCCCCAGAGGGCCCTTCTTTGAGGACACCTGACCTATTTCAAGTCTTTCTTTAGAATTTCTGCAGGCAGCTCTAAACGCACTTAGGCATTCGAAGCATGTGTTGTAATAAGCCAGAAGCAGCACGCTGGCTGGGGCGCCCGTTGCTCACTTACCCCCCCTGCCCGATGACAGGTACTATCTTCACATTCTGCTGCAAATTGTCTCCGTTTTTGGCGTAGTAAACTCCTTGCCACTCCTATACATGGAATGGAAACATCGTTATGCTTTGTGTCTAGAACATGAGTCCAAGAACATCTTCCGCTCCCGGGTCCGAGCCACTCCCCCTTGCTAAAGTGATTAGCTTAGAAGGTGTCTCAGCCCCACATGCAACTGTGGGCGATCTGACCATTCTTTCTCATCCTCCCAAGCCCAGCTCCTCCTAGCTGCTGACAGAAGCCAGTCACCACAGTCTGAGTGGTGTGTGTCCCATCCACTGGCAGAAGAGGCCCCTGGCCCTCAAGGGAAGCGCATCCCCTCACTTTGCTGCACAGTCCCCTCCCATCACAGCTCCTACTGGCTACAGTGGGGTGAGGAGCATATGGCCCCTGGCCCTGCATTTGGGAGGGGAGAACAGGACTGGGCAGAGAAAGCAACATTGTGTGGCCACTAGCATGCTGGGCTGCCAGCACCATCTGGGTGGGGATGAGGAGGTGACAGCCAGGACTGGGCTCGGGCAGAGCACAGAGATGAGACCTTTTATGCAGGGCTGCCACTGCATTAGTCATGCTCTCAGGTCAGACAAAACAGAGGCATTTTTTCCAAGCAGAACCGAAGCCTCGGGAGCAGCTGCATGCAGGACGGGGCTGCAGCAGCATCCCTGCTCTTGGGGCAGTGGAAGAGGCCTGGGAGAACGATCCTGAGTTCGTTACTACCTAAAAGGTTCTGAATTCCTCCAAAAGTCACCAAGGGTTCTCAAGCTGTAACAATCCCTAAAACCCACGGCAGGACACAGCTCACAGGGTGCTGCACAACACCCTTGGCCAGCGGGAGTCCCACAGACTCGAGCTGAGCCTCCCCAGGGCAGCCTAAGTGGCTCAGCTCAAGTCTCCTGCCCAGACCCCTCAGGGAAGGTCAGTCCTGCAGGCTCCGAGGCCTGGGGTAGGTTGGCCCGTGGGCGGAAGCCAACAGTGCAGTCTCAGCCTCAGACTCCCCTGGAGAAGGGGGTCCAAGAGAAACAGGACGCCGACAGAGCAGTGGACGGTTAACGGTGAGGCTTCCGGGCGGGTGTACTTGTGAAAACACCACACACCAACAAGGCACTGAATTCAAAAAGAGCCAAAGAGCCCAGCTCAGTGCTCACTGGCCCCAGGGCAGGAGGAAGGTGCGGGCACTGCCAGGTTCTCAGGGGCGGCTGGCCCGTGGGAAACAGGCAAGGACTACATGGGGACGTCGGGCAGAAACGCATGCCCGCCCTCCGTGTCCGCACGTGCTCACTCGGGCAGACAGGTTGGAGGGCTGTGGCAGTGTGTGCCCAGGTCTGAGAACAAAGCACCCCTGAACTCTGCTTTAAATGGGCAAATGGTGCGGGGCGAGAATTCTCTCTTAAAAGAGCTGTTAGAGTTGAAAACGGGTGGGAGGAAGATGAGAGCCCAATCCGACCAGTCAATCCGCACATTAAGAACACTTCCAGGACTTCCTCCCATCCCTTCGGAACGGACGTGGGCAGCTGTCCGCCACCGGCCAGAGCCGCACAGTCCAGTCCTCAGAGCAGGGCGAGTCAGCAACGACTCTGCTGGGGCAACAGAACGGCCCGCGAGCTTTCCGGTCACCAGTGGAAACAAAAAATATTTACCTGTTATAGGCCATCTTTCTTATCAAAAATATATTTTAAAATACTGACCTATCAGAAACTCTAAATTTTTAGTTCCTGAGAATAACCAATTTCCGCCATAGAATGCCATCGGGAAGATGCCACCTGGTAGTTTAAATGCACATGAACTCCACAAAAGGCTCTGGCACTTGGTGCGGGTCTGCAGAGGCTGCCCCCTCGGGCCGTGCTCCCCTCTCAACTGTACGAGGGGCCGCACCGCCCTCCTGCTCCGGGCGGGCCCAGCAGCAGGCCAGGCTTCTCTGACTGTTGAGACAGCCCCTCCTCAGTGCTCATCATCCTAATTAAACCAGAGCCACCACTGCCAACCCTCAGGGCTAGCACAGTGCTAGCCCGTAGTAAACAGTCAGAGAACAGCCGCACTTCCACTTACGGAGCAGAAGAGGCAGGCTGAGGTCTGACGACAGAGCCCTGGGAGCCCAGCTGAGGGATGTGAGCTCCACACAGAGGGGGTGACAGGGTCGGAACGGTGGCAGGCAAGCCTCGTCACTCTGTGCTGTAGGTGGACTGACCGGAGGTGGGGGCCATGAGACAGGAGCCCCAGCTGGATTCAGCCCACACAAGCCCCGGGTGCGAAAGGCCCTGAACAAGGTCAGGCCCAGGCAGTGGACACTCAAAGGCATGGGCTTAGCAGATGTCAGGCTCAGCGATGGATGTGATAGAGGAGACTAACGAGGGGGTGGGGGGGAACCAGAGCCATCCCAGGGTTCCAAGTCAAGGCGACTGTGAGGCCGGTGCTCGAGGGGAGACCACGGGGGCTGCGGAGGGCCCGTCTGTCCTGGGTGCGGGCTGAGGGAAGATCACTGTTGGCCAAGGTGGTTTCAACTGATGGCTGCAGGTTGACCCAGACCCTGGAGAAGAGGCCGGGCTGGGGGAGGAGCGAGAATCTCTGCAGAGCAGGCAAGTGCCTGGGTATCAAAGGGGTGGCCTGGGAAACACGGGGAGGGGGACAAAGAGCCCAGGTGAGCTCAGAGGACACAGATGACGAAGAGTTGGCGAAGAAAGACAGGGATCCGTGGGGAGGGAAGCACAAGAGTCACGGGCCCTGGGGTTGACAGCTGTGAGAGGATAGAGGCTCCGCAGCCATCCATCATGTCCCGGGTGGGTGTCTAGCAGCCCGCATTTACTCAGCGCCTACAAGACCCAATTTCTGAGGCAAAAAATTCAAACTCTCTGAAAGAGAAGAGCGATGGAGGCCCAAGTGTCGGAGAAGATGGGAGGCTGGGTCCTACGGCCCTGACAGAGAAGCCCTGGGGAGGGGGGGAGGCAAGGCCAGAGCACACGCGTGGGGCCCAGGGGGAGCATGAGGGTGCGGCCTGAAAACGAAGGTCCCCACAGCTCAGCCCCCACACAGGAGCCGTCAGCTGAGGACAGCGGGCAGAAGGAATCATCTGGAGAGACGCGTCTGCAATATTCTCTGCTTGAACGTCAGAATTTGTCCTCTGCCCCCAGGACTATCTGACAGACAGGCACCCCTAGAATCTGACACTCGAAGCTCCCAGCCATCACCTAACCCCTTCTTAAGCCTCGACCGGGTTTCCGGTGCGTGTCTGAACTCTCCCCACTGACCAGGGTACCACTGGCCCGGGGCCCCAGTTCTTCTGGGGAGACGCCACTAGAAAGGCTGCACATTCTTTCACCTGGAAAGCTTGCCTGACCACGTGCTCCGTCCTGCTGCAGTGCCGCCAGACAACACGCGGGTCACCACACTGGACAGAGGGCTACTCTTCCTCTCTTCCCGAGAGCTCTGAGCACACACAGTGTGACCAGGCTCCTCTCTGAAACAGAGCACTACAGAGGTCAGAAGTATGGTCATCTTCCAGACTCTCTGCTCATGGTCAACACGGAGCTCAGAGAACACGTCTCCTCCTGTGCGAGTTCGAGGCCCTTTGTACCTGTACCTGGTGCCTGGCCACGTAACCCAGGTGAGATGCTGTTTGCCTGGACCCAGAAGACCCAGGCCAATAGATTATCCACTGTGGGGCCGCTCCACCCCTGCCAGCCACCTGAGCATAACCATCGTCATGTCAAGGCGCACCAGGGCCTGCTCCACTGGCTGCTTCCCAGATGACTCTCAGGATGGCATCACACGCCAACCAAGAGCAGCCTGGGGCCTACGTGCCAGGACTGGGAAGGCATGGCAAAGCCCCCTCCAGGCTGCTGGGTCTTGGGTGATGGCTGCCCTGTACCTTGCTTCTGAGGACACCCTGCTCAAGTGAGGACAGAACGCTGGCTCTCACCTGGGCGGTACACCTGACACCCGAGGGCCCCTTCATCCACTTCAGATGCCATTTCTCTCTTTCTAGTAAGAAATCATCACTGTGTGCTCAGAGCCACGGGAAAGCAGAGGGACACACACCCACTCACGGTGTCTCTGAGGGGCCCAAGCATGGGGGGGCGTGAGCTTCACAAAGCACCAGGGCCCCACGGCAAACTGCTCTTTTCTGCGGTGGGGCCGCACTGGCCACAGGGCAAGGGTGCTGCTTCCACGGGGGCCTCCATGGGGGCCCCCACGGCGAGCAGGAAAGCAGGTCACCAGTTTCTCCACTTTGTTTCAGTGATCAAATTAATAGTCCCTACTCAGCTTCCAAAGGGTAAGGTGAGCCCAGCAGGAAAGACTAAATAAGAATATCTACGAAAAGCAGGAGCGTTTTCCTTCTGTCGGAAGCCCCTGTTCAGACAGGGAAAGTCTCTTGCAGGCTGGCCCGCCTTCCCTCCGTCTGCCCTCCAGCGCCACGCTCACGGGACTCCTCACACGCCCGGGCACTGGCCCTGTGTACTGTCTGTGTGGCTTCCTGGAAGGTGAGCTCTCTGAGGCAGGCCTTAGCATTTTGGTCTTCTTGCTAAACCAGAACCCAGCAGAGTGCCTGACATACGGGACGCATTTTTTAAAAATGCTGCACGAGTGAACAGGGCTCAGAGAACCGTGGGGCTTGGGGGTGTCACGAGAACGTGCCCCTCAGTGGCAATCCTTCACCCGGACCATCTGCCCATACCCGCCACTTAGGTCAACTATTAGAAAGACTTAAGTTAGTTATTACAAAGATGAAAACGACGACTGTAAGTGTCAATGAAAGTTACTCTGATGACTGGCTAATCGTATTATAGACTTTCCCCGCCTCAGTTTCCTCATCTGCAAAATGGGAATAACAAGGAAAATACCACTACACTGTTCTCCTGTCCTGCTGGGAAGAGTAAGACTAAGATTACCTAGCACGGGCAGTGCTCAGTGAACACTAAGTCTCCTTCCGTCCATCTCTGTTATGTGAAAGTAAAAAAGGTACTAACCTCTCACTTACCTTCCCCGTCTTGATGCAAGAATTTATAGTGTCAAGCAAATCCGACTTTTTTTCATTTATAGGCACTTCTGCTAACTCCTTCCCTATTAAGTCACCTGATTTATAGCCCATTGTTGTTTCAAATGCAGGATTTGCATACTGGGGAGGCAAAAAAAAAAAGCATCTGGTGAATTAAAATCAGTTTTGAAAAAAGGACAATGAAGACTGTTCCCTACACCAGCAGGTTTCCCCACTGAAAGGAGCCTGGAGCAGTCCCCGCAGTCCCGAAGCGGCAGGAGCACAACTCCAGGACAGCCCCTGGAATCCCGAGAAGCCTCTGCCCCGAGCCCCTGGCTGGGCTGGGCTCTCTCCGGTGCCCCAGAAGTTGCTGCGCATGCGCAGTAGCAGGCCCCGCCCACTAAAGCAACAGCTGATGGAAGAGCCCTATGGAGAAACCCAGGGGCTGCTCAGACCACACGGTGGAATAAAAGCACGTCTGAAACGCCCAGGCTCCACGCCCGCGAGCCCCTCCGCCCCTCAAAGTCTCCGACTGCGCATCTGTTTGGTGGGGAGGAAATGTCTGTCTTGCCTGTCTCACGTGAGGCAAATGGATAACGTATTTGGAAAGCAGGATGTGAACTAGGAAGTGTTTGCAAGTATAAGGCTTTGTGGCTAAATTTCAAATAGGCCTAGAAGACTAGAAGAAAATGCTGGGAAAGCTATGCATGTGCTAATAATAACAACAACAACAACAACATAATACTTGAAACTATTTTCCTTGGCAGGCACTATAGTAAGCACTTCACACGCATTAATTCACTTAGTCCTCAGAACATCCTTAACAAAGGTAAGCTGTCATTGGCATTAATACTCCTCCCACTTGTACAGACGACAGGGCAGATGCGGAGGGATTACGTAACCCGCCCAAAGGCGCTCCGCGGGGATGGGGCCCGAGGCCTGTCAGACTCCAAGCCTGGGCCCTCGCCCACTGTGCTGCCTGCCTCTCAGGGCACCAGCTGTGGAACGTGGACATCCACTCTTTACCACGAGGGTCACAGGTCAGACTGGGGACGGACTGGGTGCTCAGAAGTCAGTCAAAGTGCAGCCGTCAGCAGACATCAGGGACGTCTCCCTGGCACAGCCCTTTCGGTGTCACCTAAAATTTAGCCTACGCCTGCTGTCTTCGGTCACTGGCCTGCACCCACTTTGCTAATAATGGGTGATTTGTCTAGTAATTACCAGGCTACTTTTGAAGTTTTGAGTAGTTTCTACTACATCTCTGCAGGTGTAAACTACCTCCAAAAACAGTGAGAAAGGGGAGAACCCACGGACACCCGTGGTCAAAGCCTTCTCCCTTGTGCCGCCGCCCCTCTCCCCCTGCTGGGAATAATCCTTCTGGACAAAGGTCTCTCCTGAAACAAAAAAGTAATTACTAGTACCCTTTCTTGCTTATAGGGAACTTATTTTAAGTTACACATATTAAAGACTTTGTTCTGATAATGCTCTAGGGAGAAAACTGGTCTCTTGAACTTCAAAAAGAGAAAAAAATCATATTGGAAGGGTCCAATCCTAAAAATGAGAACAAACAGACGCCCGGAAGGACAGAACCTCCAAAGTCACAAACCTGTATAATGTGGTCTTCACTTATGATTTCAATTGCTTCTTGACTTTTCTCTAATGCAGTGAATACTGAGTTACAAGCCCTTTATGGGTATGGGTAGGAGGGGGAAAAAAAGGACAGATTAGTGTAAGTACTACAAAGTCTGATACAATCCCAGGGTATAACATTAACTTGCTTAAATGCGTTTTTTGTCTGCTGATAAAGGTAACAAATTCTAATCCAAAAAAAGAGGGGAGGAAATATTAAAAGGCATAAACAAGAGATCACCTCCTCCCGAAACACCACTACATGGGCCAGGACCGGGCACATGTTGGTGGCCTCCCTTCTTGTCTGAGGACCAGGGGGCAGGGGTGGAACACACTCCAGGGTTCAAGTCACAGCCCAGCCCTGGCTGTGGGACCCTGGGCACGAGACTGAAACTCTCCGTCTGCCTTCTCGCCACCTGAAGTGTCCACAATGGCCAGAACCCCACACAGAGCCCAGAAGAGGCATCCAGTCATCAGAAGCCATTATTTTAAACAAACGCTTTTCCAAAGTTGGGGTCATCAGGGTAACCAGCTTTACCCTCTGCTTTGCTCACTTAGCCTTATTTTGCGGGCATTCTCCCATGTCCTTGGTGTTTGAAAACATTTTTATTTTTAATCCTCACCCTAAGGTGCCTGTATTGATTTTACAGAGAGGAAGGCAATGTGTGTGTGGGGGGGGTTCCGGGCAGGAGAGAAACATCGATGTGGGCATGAATTTTTCCCAGTTTGGGTTCCCTAGTTGTCTAAATTTTTAACATTATTTAAGGCGTTTTATCTTTAAAACTGTAGACAAACTGAACATTTTTATGTTGTTTGATCTGACTCTGTTCTTTCATGGAATCTGGCGTGGCCCAGAAAGAGGGCCTGGCCCATTTCTCCCTGGGGGTTTAGCAGGGAGCAGCGGACTTTTTTCCATCAACCTCACATAGTTTCACTGATTTTTCTGCTTTTCTTGAAAGCTTAACAAGGAGGTAGGTTTCCACCCATTTCACTTTTTAAAAGAACTTCATCGACAGCAAATGACAAAGTGATTATTGTAGAAAGTTGGCTGTGTGTGTAGATTAAAAGTATTTTTTCTTAAAAACCAAAACAGAGAATTCGTGGTACATATTTTCATATCCTGCTTTCCATTCACTATGATTTGAGTCCCCTTTTCAACCTGAGTCTCCAGTAACTAACACGTCCACTTGTGTAGCACGTAGGCCGACCCCAAAAGTCTGTGTGAGGAGAGGAGCCACCTGGTCACCCCACCCTGTCCAGGCAGGAGGTCAGTTAACCCCCCCCACACACACACACCCAGAGGTAGGATCTGTCCCAGCCAAGTCCCCCCCTCGCAGCAGCGGAGTTACCTGAGTTTCAGCTGTGAGCGCACCTCCCCGAACTCCAGCTGGAGCAGCTCGTTGTAGCAGGCCATGAGGCTCGGGTTCTCCACGTACCTCTGCAGACAGAGAGCACACCCACCTCTAAGCTTCTGTGTCTATCGGCAAAAAGGATGCTTTTCAAAAGACGCCGCAGTTTGGTGACTGGAGTCTGAGACATGTTTCACGACAAATGGGAAATGAAAGCTGAAAACTGATGGGCACCAAATTCGCTTTTTTTTTTTTTTTTTTTTTTTTAAAACAGGGCTTAAAAATGCTTCCCTTGCAGGGCTTTCCGGGAAGAGAATTTCAGTCGTGTGCATGTCATTACCTGGTTGGAATTTCTGAGTCTGTGGACTAGTGTCTCGCTGGTTCTGGAAAACGCTCTTCGTGCATTACCTCTGCTCGTTCTCTCTCCTGTCCTCTGGAATCCCTGTTATGCACACGCTAAGCCTGTACTCTCTAGCTGCACATTGCTCCACCTCGCTCCAACTTATTTTTTAGTATTCCACCTCTGAGCTACACGCTGGGTAATTTTTTCTGACCTGTTTAAGTTTTAAGATTTTCATTTATTACGTGTTCATTTCTCACAATTCCATTATGTTCTGTTTAAAACTGGCTTTGCCACTTTTCATGGCTTGCTCTTCCTTGCAGGTATTTCCAAGCTTAGTATTTTATTTCTTTACATGGAATTAGCTCAACTGCTTTAAATTCACACCTGATGAGTCTAGTGCCTGAGAGCACAAGGGTGTGTTTCTGCTGCCTCTGCACTGGTTCTCACTCACAGTCCCGTCCCCTGCACGCCGGTCAGCTGTGACCAGGCGCTAGCTGCTGCCGTCCAACAGTGATTTGTGGGGAATCTCTGAGGCCAAAGATGAGGGTTCTTCCCCTGGGGAGGACCTGTACTGGCTCCGGCAGGCACCTGGGAGAACTACCATCTGGAACGCTTTACACTAAATTCATAGTTTGAGGTTTCTTGACTGTCGCATTGATATAAACTTGGGCTACACATTTCCCCAAGGGTCAGCCTCACGTAGGTTCTCTCCACCATGAGTCCCAAGGCTCACTGGCAACCAGCTGGTCAACACCTTCAGCCTTCAGGCCCAGGAGAGACCAACAGACCGGAGCTGGGGTGGAGAGAAGGGAGCCGTGTTTGCGTGGCCTTATTTCCAGAATCCCTGAACTGACGTCAAGGTCACTTACACAAACAGGTGTTATAATGACACGCCCTCTGGGGTAACTGCTCAGGAGCCACCGTGAAAGGGGACTTTCCCAGGCACAGTTTTGAGAGACTGAGACAGTAAGGTGTTGTAGATTATTACATCACTAACTTAGAAAGTTAAATCAAAAGGTAACTCAGCACAAGGGCAACACATTTTCTTTCTTCAAGTTAATTCAAAACCTTCACTGGCTCTGAACTGAGAATGGACACGTCCTTGTGCTGAGTGACGCGTGCATGAGAGGGGGCACCTACCCTCGTGAAGCCGGCGGCGATGAGGGGCAGCACGGACGGCTCTTCTCTCTCCGCCCTGCAGAGGAACACAGCAGACGGTCGGGGACGATGGTCAGCAATGACCTCTCACCCCTCATCCTCTAACTTACGTAACACTATGACTGTCCTATAACGGGTACTTCTGGATGAGTGAGAGGAAGATACAAATTAAAAGTATGGATGGAGTCAGAAACAGTTTTCTGTTTTAGTTTCATACATAGCTTTCTGGTACTGTATAGTAATGCTTGAAATATGGAGGTTATTATCAACAGTCAAAATATAGGAGTAACCATATGTAGACACTTGAAACTAAATTAAACTATTTGATATGTAAACACTTTAAACTAAATCATTTCCTATCTTATTCTACTGCCTGTTTATTTTTTAAAAACCCTGAGGGAGGATGAAATAGGCAAACAGGGTTGACAGCATGTGATGGGAAGAAACTAGACTCTGGTGATGAGTAAGATGCAGATGTTGAATTATAATGCTGCATACCTGAAACTTACATGTTAGGAGCCAATGTCACTTTAATAAAAATTAATAATTAAAAAATCCCTTCTTCCCTCCGTAACAAGTTCAGGAAAATAATTTAAAGAACACAGAAATATTTCTTCTATCTATAACAATATGTAAGCTGAAAACACTTATTTGAATACTGCCCTTCTCCTCACATATTTTTATCCTTTCCTTACTTCCAGTGCAAGGGTGAAATAGAAGACATCCTCTGTGTATGTGTGATTCAAATCTCCACAGATAGACAGATAGATACGTGGAGTTAGAAGGCTCTTGGAAGATAGTCCCGGAGACACACATGCATTCAGGAATGGAATTCTCTAGTGCTGTGCTCATTTCTAAAGTGGAAGGCAGTCCAAAATCACAAACCCAAGCACAAGGGTAGAAACTCCCATCCTTAAGGTGACCACCCAAGCCAAAGAAAGTAAAGCGTAAGAGAGAAAAGGCGAAACTAGCAAGAGCTGCACAGTCACAGCCTGCAAGCTGCTCTTCAATCTCTGCGAGAGCCAACACAAATTTCAAAGTCGGAAAAGAAAAAAAAAGAAAGCTTACCTGCGTACTACGCCAATAATAACTGTGTTTTCTGAGACTTTTGAGGATCTAATAGACCTATTAAAAACAAATTTTAAAATAAATTTAAAGCAATTAAAAAAATAACGTAATTTTGGTAGAACAGTGGAAGTTGGGGGAGAGGCAAGAGGAGGAGCGAAAGCTCCCTTCACACTCTGGACCCTCCTTCTTGGCTACGTGGTCTCTGTCATTTGGGGACAAACTCCTAATCCCTGGACACGGGACCCCAGTGATCACGGAGTACGACCGTAACCGCCGACCGAGAAGACGTGCCTTCCACGAGTGCCGCTCCTCGTCGGCCCAGCTGTCCCAGGTGGAGCACCCTCCCTCCCTCGGGTTCACATGAGATGGGTCACCCGCCCCATCCGACCAAAGGCAGTGCTAGTTTATGTGCACTGACCATAGCGAAGGCCAGGGCGCGGTGGGACAGAGAACGCAAGGGCCGGCCCCCAACTGTGTGCTAAGCAGCACAGAGATGCGCTCCTGGCCAGTGTATAGGCAAAAACAGTAACAACGGAAAATCTAAACGGGGAAAGGCAAGACGTTCTCATCAGTCTAAAACAGGAGAATCAACACCTGACAGAAAAGGCTAAGAATGGAGGGCTGGCCAGGAAAGTAGGAGACACTGCACCACAGACATTACCCCACAGAGTACAGGCTCACCAGACAGTAAACTCAACAGCCCCACGAAGCCTGGGGAGTGGGAACCGGCCAAGAAGCGAAGAGATCGGAGGGGGGCAGAAATAAGTGTGACACAAAGGAGTAGGAGAAGGAAGAGAAACCGCTCCACTGCAGAGTGCAGCCGCTTTGAACTCACCCTACACTGGCCAAGAAAGCAGGTCTCTCCGAAGAAGCAGGAGCAGAGCAGCCCCAGACACCCTGCCTGTCCCTGCGGTGCTGCTCCCTTTATTCAGGACGTTTTCTCCACCTTCATTCCTTTCAAAACTCCTGCTCATCCTTCAGGACGGGACCCAGATACCCCGCGTGGAGCCCTCCCTGACACGGCACCTGCAGCACTCGGTGCACACGTCCTCCGGGGCACGCGGGAGCCCCCACCAACATCGCTCCCTCATCCCGCCAACTGCAGCCTCCGCGCTCCTCAGAGGCAGGAACCACATCTTCCTCACCTCTGTGCCTCTGATAGAAAGTGCCGTGCCCAGAACTGAGAAGGTGTGTAACGTAGGGGTCCGCGGTGGGTAGGTTTGGAAACACAGCACACAGAATATCTGGCCTTCGACGAGGAGTGTGAAGAGGTCTGAACATCCCCAACAGAAGGACACAGGGGATGCAAACAGCCTTCTAAGGGCACGTCTTTTTCCTATTATCTCAGTTTTCAATCCCCGTCATACTTAGTTTAAATCCCTTCTATCTCCTAAAAGTCAAGTGTTTAAATGTCCTTGAAATTAATGTATACAATTTTATATTAAAATTATGATTTGTCTTTCCCCAATCTAGTAAGTAAAAATGAATGTTTCACTTTGTCTTGCTTCCATCAGCAGAAAATACATTTTTTTAAAGTTACTTTTCTTAGATTTATGTATGCTACCCAGAATTCTCTCCTAATGCTGATATTCTACAAGTATTATAAACAGGGCACATTCACCTCACACTAGAAGACAATTTTCAAACATCTGGGAAATTGCAATAACTTGTTGCAGCAATATGCAGGTGGAGGTTAAGTACATGCTGGGTTTCACCCAATATGTAACACCTAACGGTCCTCGTTCAGACTTTCCTACCGTTATAAGCAAAGCAAAGTGAAACAAAACAAGAGATACAGATCAGACTGAGAAATAATGATGTGCTAATCTAATAATGTCTTGCTTAGTTACATGCATGGAAGGCAACGTAAAGGACACTCAATTTAACTTCATGTACTTCTGGGCTGCCTTACCGTCACAAATGCCGGCGGGACCACTGGGGCCGAGTCTCGGGCTCACCTGCACAGCGCCTCTGCATCCAGCTGCCGGGGATTTCTGTGGTCGATGATGATGACATCATGGTGTTTGGCCAGGAAACAGGCCATGACGGTGTGAGCCTCCTTGGTAACCGTGCACTTAAACCCTGCTTTTTCACATGCCTTACAGAATCCGTTACACTGGTTGTCCTCTTTGGTAAACACTAAAAGTACCTGAATCAAAAAAGCAGAAAGAAAGAGAGAGAGAGAGAGATGTTGGAATATTACTTCTTGACAAGCCACAGAAAACTCCCAAGTCAAGTCCACAGATGTAAACTTAGTCTGTTGATGTAAATCCTCCTTCTACAAGTAACTCTCAGACATTACAACTCAGCTCCTAGAAATCAGTGCTATTCTAGCTGCTCTTGGTCAATTCCAAGTGCATGGGTCACATACATCTTTTGCTAATAAACCCACTGGCAGAACTCATCAAAGGCTTGGTGGAGCACTTGATCCTGAAACTAAATCAATCAAACCACATGCATACTTATTTCAGTTAACAGTACGTTAACCAGGCAAGTCGCCCGACAGCAATATGCTAGTCAAACACCTAGAATACTAATACATTATATACTGGACTTAGATGTTTTGACTCAAGATTTTATGTAATCCCTCCAAGATGAAAAAAATCACTTTAAATTTTACAAGAAGAGATTCAAAGCAGACCAAAATGGTGCACTCGCAGCCCTGTGGCTGAGGTGACACAGGAGTAGCACTGGGTACAAGAGGCGGCAGCAGCATCTGTGCTCACTGTCCCGGTGCCTGGCCCGCATCACTGAGGCCGGGGCTGCGGCTTCTCCCCCACGAGGCCAGGCCCCCCAGCCTGGTTCAGGGGAGCACTGCTCCATCGCCTTCAGACCCGGGCTGACTCCTGGGGCCCAGGCTGTATGGGAGGGGCTGCAGAGCTGACCGAAACCCTGTCCCTGACACTTAGTTCTCTAAGTTCACCTGTGTGCATGATTGCAAAGAACTGGAAGACAGCACACCTCTGCTGGTCTTTTCCCACGTGTTTGAACAAATGAAATAGTGAACATGTGTTTATGCGCAGGAAACATCAAATAACTCTGGGACTAAATTTCAATTGGCTATTTTTGTCTTATTATTTTGGAGGAAACGATAGATATTTCTCGCTGTTAGAGCTAATTCAGAAACACAGGGAAGGATGTGATTTTCCTTTTCATATAGGAAAATTTCAAACCTACTGAAGGTGTGGATGATGACGAGTGCTGGGAGACCCTTCTTCTGGTGTCATTGGGGGTTCACATTTTGCCGCCTTTGCTCGCTCTCCTGCCCCCACCCGGCCACACACACACACACACACACACCCTTCCTTTCTTTATCGCTGAACCTTTTAAAGTGGGCTGCAGGCATTTCTTCACCTGTAAATACCTCAATGTACGCTTTTAAGAAAAGTGCGCTCTCTTACGTGTCTGTAGCACCGACATGCTGCCCGAAATGGAAGACCGTCCTCTCCCTCCCCACCTCTTTAAAGAGAATGGACGTAGAAAATCACAGCACAGTGTATCATTACCTGGAGTTGATCTGGATGAAATTTCATGGGGCCAAATTGCACTTCAGCTGCCACCTGTAGGAAAAAGATCTGTTTAAATATAAGAAAAGTAAGCCTGTTTAAAATGTTCTCTCCAGTCAGAGCCAAGGGCCAAGGTGAAGTTTCCACCCTAGAGAGGATGACACAGGAAGCGGTGATCAGACAGAGGGACCTGGAATCTCCTCGTAACCCAGCACAGGTGGAGAGCGAGGAGGGGCATGAAACAAGTGGGGTCCCGGCTCGCTCTTCCCCCCTGCATGTGACTGTGCGTGAGCTGCCCAGCCTCCCTCAGCCGACAGTCAAGTGAGACCACAACAGGATGAGCCCTGTGATCGGACACCTGCCGACACTGGTGCCTTCCCGCCCGCGTCTCTCTTTGCTGTGACAGATCGTGAAGTGGTGCACAAATAACGGCGCCCAGTGGGTAGAGCCCTGGGGCCTCCAAGCCAGGGAAAGCTCTCTGAGAAACCAGGGGCCCTCTCAGACCAGGCCCCCAGCAATGAGCCCTGGCACTGGGTCCCTACGCAGAGGAAGAGACACCTTTTTGCGATTTTCCAGAAACACTGCACGGGTTGATGGTGTCTGCACCCCCCGGGGGCCTGTGGGTGACAGGATGACTCCACACCCGTAACACAGCAGCAGCAGAACTGGATGTTGCCCAGCAGCTGCCCTCGGCCAGCCTCTCCCCTCGGGCAGTGGCCCGTCCACAGTAAATGCGTGGAACAAACCTGCTCCATGGGGGGGATGCCTGTGCATATTTTGAACGGCTATAGCTGACGTCTACAACTATGGAACGCTGGCCCAGTTTCTGATTCACTCTGTAGAGTTTCGTCTCTCAGGAGGGATGAGAGTGAGGGTCAGTACTCTTCCAGACCTCACCCCGATGGGGAGGACTCTGCGGCAGGGTGGAAGAGTGAGAACAGCACCATCCGGCCCCCTGAGCTGCGAGTTCCGGGCCAGCCTCACACTGAGAGGCACAGCCAGCGCCAGAGCCAGCGTGTCTGAGACGACGTCCAGGAGAAGAGCCTTCAGAGGGAGATCAGATCTACACATTCAAGCCCCACAGTGCACAGAGAAGGGCAGCAGGGGCCCAAGGAGGGGCCACTCTCAGTGGTGAGGGTTTTGGTTTTTAATGAACAAATTTTAAAGCAATGAGTGAATGGAAGAACAAGGAATGATACAGGCCTAGTATTTGGAGAATACAGTGGCACTACTCAGGGGAAAGCAAGAGAAGGAAGCAAACGACAGGAAAGAGAAAGAGAATCATTCTGTTTACTTCCTTCAGTGCGGGGGGCCAGTTCCACAAGAGAGCAGAAAACCCAGCCGCAGGAGGGAGGCTGCTACTGCGAGACACACAGAAGTTGGTTGACGGCTCGTGGCCCTCTGCATGCACGGGGGTCTGCGGCCTCGGACGCAGAAGACTCACAAAATTTGCTGTGAAGAATACAATAGCCCTGACCAGTGTGGCTGAGTGGGTTGGATGTCATCCCGCAAAGTGAAAGGCTGCTGGTTCGATTCCCAGTCAGGGCACACACCTGGGTTGCAGGTTTGCCCCCCCCCCACCCCCAGTCAGGACATGTACAAGAGGCAACTAATTGATGTTTCTCTCCTTCTTCTCCCTCCCTTTACCTCTCAGTAAAAAATAAATAAAATCTTTAATAGTAATAAAAATCAAATAGATAAAAAAATAAAGTCTGAAGGGAGAGAAGAAAATATTTATGAATAGTGTAAAAACAAATGACATACGAGATCACAAAGAAAACCTGAAAACATTATTTTTTGAAAACGTGTCCTTAAAACGTGTACAGTTTTTATACTTTAACCATAATACAATCAAAGCAGAAATTTAAAACATACATTTAAACAAAATCAAGAACAAATACTCCCACCCCTAGAAAAATTTTAAATATTAATTCATGTACTTGCTGGATCAGAGAGGGAAAGGCAAACTAGACCTACATATTACTTGGAAAATGATAGAGTTGAAAATATCATGTAATAAAACTTACAGGGCACTGCTAAATTTTACTCAAAGGCAAAATTCAGAGTCTTAAATCTTTCTGTCATGAAATAAGAATTAAGTAAATAAGCTTTCAAGTCTACGTTTGAGAAAGTGCACAGCACAAAATTAAGGAAACTGGGAAGAGAAAAATAAAGGTAAAGGCATTCGTTAATAACGGTGTCAAATGTCAGTGGCTGTTCTGATTTGTAAGAAGTACAGATATGTGTGTCTACAGCGCTGGTCATGAGCTGAAGGACAAGACACAAGTGGGGCTGGCTCCGGGCGAAGCCTCCTCCCTCCAGGGAGAGCGACTCCATACAGCGAAAGGGAGAAGCAACTTTTATAGACAAAGGACAGCGTGACTTTATATCTCAACTTACGAAAATAACTCACCACCGCATCCCTTGTAAGAAACAAAAGAAGCCACACGTTAATTTTTTAAGGATCATGAATTTTGCCTCAGTACAATTTTAGCAGTATCGTTTTAAACATCGCCGTCCTGGCAATTCTCTCTCACCACTGAACACTTTATTTACCCAGTGAGACTGCACGTTAACCTTACTTCCTGTCCCAGGGCACATCCGGCCCCGGGACCTCTGCGAAGCAGTGGCCCAGGAAAGTCCAACAACTACTTACCACCCCCCTCACCCCCCAAAATAACCACCACCAGGAAATCTGATGACACTACTCAGGGAGTTGACGTCAGCACCGGGCCCTCAAAGAATAAACAACTTCCCAGCCGCTCTGGATAGGGGATTGGAACTATTGGCATTCTTGGGCTCATCCTCTGTGTATAAAAATCAGTATCAAACTGACCCAAAGCTTCAGGCCACAGCTCTCTTAATAATATTTACTTCTTATACTAATATTTAGAAGAGAAAAATCATTTTTAATTAATTGTAATAATGTAGCACTGATTTCATCTTTCAGCTTCCAAAGCAACAGATATTTTAGGTATTACAGAAACAAATGGTATGCTCATGGGCCGGTACTGGTAATTATGCAAGCTGTTCAGTTTAGTCCTTTGGATTTTTAAAAGTTATGTTATTTATTTAATTGTGTTGTTATAAAAAGACTGTGACATTAAGGTAGGGTGTCTGTGTATATTTTAATATTTTAAAGTAACTTTTGTAAATATGTTTGACAGAAACATGAACTAAATTATTATTAGAAGCTTTGATGAAACATATCAGACTTCTTTTTTTTTCTTTTTTTTTTTTGCCTAACTGACCTAATATCACAAAGATGTGACTCTATACGGCAAAGTTACTGAGTTGTGAATCTTGATTGTCATATGTGTGGGTGGAGGAGGAGACAGATCAATCCAACCTAAAATTTCTGCTCCTCAGACCCTCCCTGTTCCTTTGCCTGCTTTGTTTTTATCTCCATGGCTCTTAGTCACCATTTGCCACATTACTTACTTCATTATTTATCTCCTTATTATCTAGTGGGAGAAAGTAAGTTCTGTGAAGACAAACTTATCTGCTTTATTCACTGCTGTTTCCAACACCCAAAGCAGTGCCTGGCACCCAGCGGGTGCTCAAAAATATTTCTGAATGACTGCTGACACAAGAGCTAATCTTTCTGAATCACTCTTACTTAAAGATTACACCCATACCAGCTTCCACATGAACATGTGTGTATAATACGGAACACCCAGTTCTCCGAGCGTTTTCATATTCAGAGTGTATTTCATGCGGATCATAACGCAAGGAGGGAATGGGGAATCTTTGGAAAGCCTAGGCACTAGGAACCACAAAGGAATCCTGTGATCTCTCCCTTTTTCCTACATCCCCGTTATTAGAAGCTAGAGTTATGCTGGGGCCAATTTGCATTAACTGCGTACGAACCCAGGGACTGGAGTACAACACTGGGATCAGAGTTTGTCCTGAGCTGCACTGTCCCTGCCGCCAGTGGCCATCTTCCCTCTCCCTCCTTCCTCCCCTCCCTCTCCGGGCAAAGAGTGGTCCCTTGATCAAAGGGACGCAGCCTGGACAAGAATCAGGGGACCGCAGTTCTTAGGTGGGAAGAGTCCAAATTAAGTCAGCCACGTGGGGGCCACCCACTACCATGTCACGAGACAAGCACAGAGCCGGGTTCACTGAGACGAGCCCAGAGAACCAGGGCCTGACCGCAGTGGGAGCAGCGGTGGGGGAGAACACAAATGACAACAGCGAGGTACAGTTTTAGCAGAGAAAGAAAGTGCCCACTATGTATGTGCTAAACACTTTGCTTCCAGTCCTGTGACTGAACAGCTGCGAAGGGGCAACGGTGGGGTTGGGACACAATTCCCGAGACTTTAACCCCCACGGCCTTCTCCTGCTCCGCTGGGAAAGACCTCGAATCACTGACCCCAAGCAGCACTCGCTGAAAATAAGCCCAAGGACACGGACAGCAGCCTTCCTCCTTCCGACAAGTCTTTGATGAGCAGCCACATGGTGTTGAATAGCTTTTAAGCCAGCGAGCATTCAACAGAGAACAAGACAGATGAGGTCCCTCCATAACAGGGGAGACCTGATGGAGAGTCAGGAATCAGAGTCAAGAAGGCTGCCTAGAGCAGCAATGGGGAAGGTGAGGTCCAGGTGAGGAGGAGGAGGAGGAGGAGGAGGAGGAGGAGGAGCCAACCAGGAGGGAACAGAGGAAGGAGCGCAGGACCCACGGTGGGAAGGAACAGGGGGAGCACGAGCAGGAAGACCAAGAAGGCAGGAGATGAGGCTACGGGGAGGCAGGAGCCATGAGGTGCAGAGATTTCTAAGCCAGGACAAGAAACTTGAGTTTCATTATAGTTTCAGGAAGAGCCACTGAAGAGTTTTACACAGGGAAGTGATATGATCTAATTTTAATTTTTTTTTTAAAGATCCCTTTGGCTACTTGTAGAGAAGGGACAGTGAGAGCGAGAGAAGAGAGGCGAGGAGGCCAGTAAGGAAGCTTCCAGAGAAGTCCAAGCAAGAGAGGGTGGCAGCCTAGCCTAGCAGTTTCCATGGAGATGAGGAGGTGGCTGTGGGGCGTGCTTTGGTGGCGGAGTGATTAGGGC